TACATTGCCAATGGCCAAACTACTGTAGCGTACAAGATGGCTGAAGTCATACATTACTTCATACATTACTTATGCTGACTTCTGGATATGAAATAGAAAAATATGATTATTAGCAAATATCCAAATAGTTGAGAGATGCAAACTGGACAGCTTGTCATATTGACGGACCCTAATGAGTTTACAGTTGAATAGGATGAGGATTATAATGATAAGAGAATGCAGAGTGCATAAAGTTCTGCAGTAATAAGATGACTGTTGTAATAAAACATGGTCTTACACCCAATATTGTCCATCTTCCACTTTGCAGAACATCTGCTGACCAAGCAGCTTCTCCTGAAGAGAATAAACATTTGCTCATTTTGTGATGTGCAAGAGCTTGGAGTAGAAACAGTTACAAACTACATCCTTTTCATCAGAGACACAATTTTCCCATTTCAAGTCATTGAAATATAAGTGATTACAGCAACTGAGTAAATTAAGGGATCTCAGTTGAGCTGCAATACCTGAACTGGCTGAGCATTTACCCCACTACAAATGCAATGTCAGACACTGCCTTAAATCAACCTCTTTCAGGGCAGGAGACTGTGCAAGCAGTTGCTGCAGGAAAGTTAAGAGGTACTTCTGTAGGCTGCATGTGCATGCAATTATTTTTTCAGATTGTCAGTGCTGTCATATATCATAAATTATTTTCCCAGTAATTTTTCATTTTCTAGGGTCACTTGTTGCTTGCATAAGGCTGTACTATGTACTGCTGCATAAGGGGAACAAGAAGAAATTAGCAACAGTATTTTAAGATAACCTATTTTAAAGAATGAGGAGATGTTCAAAGAAAGCTCTAGGTATGAGAATTATTCTCATCTAGTTAAAACTGCTTATATATCAGGTAACTACAGAAGGGAAGGAAAAAATAGATCATCTTTTAGGCTTGAAATGCCAAAAAATCCTTATGGAAAAATACTCCTTAGCCATATCATATGCAGATATTGTAATTGCTTAGAAAGACTGTGGTAACATCCTTGCAGCCCCAGTGAGTATCTAAACTAAAAAGAGAAGCTAAATGTCTTGACTTTCTATCTAAAAATTAAAATTAAGCACCTTTGAGCTTTCTGCTTTTAGGAGGACTTTACAGAATTGAAAAGCTTTCTTCTTCTTCGATGGAATCAACTTTCCTGACTGTTCTATCTGCATGCAAAATTCTTCATTCTCTCTCTTGGCAGGGAACTTCCAGAAGACATACTGAAGACACAAGAGGAGATTATGGAATTAACTGTCAGAGTAAATAGAGCCAACCTGAGAGGAGTGTGGAATGTTTAGACTTTCTGAAGAAAATGAGAGCTGGAGCAGCTGAATTAATAACACTGATATCTAATCTTTAAAGACTCCTTTGCTGAAGACTGGTGGATGGAAAACAGAACAATAATTAAAAAAAAACCTGCACAGCATTTGCAGATGTGCTTGCTTGTAAATGTAGTGCCTACAGCAGGAAAATTAGGAGAAAGTATAATTAAGAATGGAATTTTTTAGGTGTGAATAGATGTACTTCACCTAGAAAAGTTAGCATGGCTTTTGCAAAGGGAGCTACTGTCTTGGAAATTTATTGGAGGTCTTTGAAAGGGTCATCAGGCATATGGATAAGTGGATGTGATTGATATAATATATTTGGATTTAGATATTAAACAGCCAAGCAAAAGAAGTGAGAAGGTTATAATGTAGAAAAATAATTGGTTATAAAATAGGAAACAGAGCATTGAATAAATATTCAATTCTCCCTGTGAAGGAAGATGAGCAATGGAATTCCACAGGAATATTTGCAGAGGGTTGTTCTGTTTATTATGATTATCAGTGACCTGCACAACAGGGTGATCAGTGATGTAAGAAATTTGGGTGATGATAAGATTGGATGAGAAAAAAAAAAAAGGCAGATAAAATTCAGTATAGTTAAATGTAAAAGGATGAGAAGAAGGATAGAATTCTATTTTCATAAACACAGTGCACTGAGATAACTGTTGCTAGTCAGGAGCAATTTTTCATTGCTGAGAAAGAGATTTGCACTGACATGTCACCTGGTGCTCTGTAGCCATCATAAAGCAAATATTAGGAATTATAAAGAAAGTAAGAACAAAACAGAGATCTCTTCCACCATACAAAGCCATGGATTCAGACATATCTTGGAAATTTCTATGCAGTCCTGAGCCTCTCATCTCAAATTCATGAAGGAGAACTGAAAAAATGCATAAAAAGGTGACAAGAATGATCAACTGTCTGTAACAGCTTTCATGCAAGGAACCTTGTGTGAGCTACAAGTCTTCTGTCTGGAAAAGAGTTGACATGGGGGAAGGATGTGACAGAAATTAAAAAACCTCTTGAGTGATATGAAGACAGTGGGCAGAAATTAAACTGTTCACAGTCTCTTCTAGCTGAAGGACAAGAGACAGTCAAATGAAACTCACAGAACTCAACTTCTATTTTTTTTTTAAGAGGTGATAGTTGATAGTTGATTATACAAGACACTAAACAAGAACAAGTTCTTGCTGAAGAATAATTTGCATGTGAAACATCCCTGTGGACTTAAGGGAAGATTGGACAAGTTTGTGCAGAAGAAACTTATCAAGGTTTACCAAACACAAAAGTGCCTCATCTGGCTTATAAGGTCTCTGAAATGGAAGTACCTGGAGGACAGGAGAATTATAAGGAGACTGATAAGATTGTTTCTGTTCATTGCTATCATGTCCTTCAGACTTTGGTCAATTGTTAGAATCAGTTTACTGGAGTTGACCCCAGTTGGTTTGACCTAATATGGATATTTTTACATTCATATATTCCAACCAAGTTTTCTAAGCAGCATGCCAATTGTCATATTCCAAAGCTGAATTTCAGGGCACACCAAAATGCAGGCAGTGTGGTGGATGTATAAGCTGGGACCTATAATGAGCTAAAAAATAAGCTTATATGATAGCACGTACATACATCCAGTATCATTCCCACTGGGGCTGCATTCAGTGCATTTAGAGTACATGTACACCACATCATCCCACACTTCTGTTCTTCTATTTATAAAAGCTTGCTTTGGGGTTCAAAAAGGACAAACATGGATTGAAGAGAGCCTGCAGATGGAGGGAGAATAATTGGTGGTATCCAGCAAGAGTAAAACTATGTAGACACATACACAGAGAATGATCCATCTGCCTGTTTGGCTCCTGGTAAACCCTGAGCACTTGTGACTGTACGTAGGCAGTTCTATGAGCTGTGAGGATGACAGCTACATACGTGCTTCGGAGACCATGAGTGTGAAACTTCATTGCAACTATGATTTTTTTTGTGTTTTGCATTTTTAGGCTCCTTTCCTCATCTTTCCCACCAAATAAATATGAAATCTTCTGGATATAGTTGGCTTATAGCTTATTTATAAATGTGTAAACAAATTAAGCAAGAAACAAAACAGAATTTTTTCTGTTGTTGTTGTTTTGATGATAGTTTTCCATGTTTTGCCTTTGTCTGATTCATGATAATTGGTTTGTACTTTTGACAGATTGATATACGTGGGACATTCTATCCATGACCCATGTGAATTAAATTGTAGCCAATAATTTTTTCTCCAAATGTAAATGGAAAATCTGCATTGGAAGGATATGCTTTCAGCAAATTTATTCATATTTTCCCATCAGAATTTACCTATTCTTTTTAATCTGAAAGACTAAAAATATGAAGGACAGTAGAGATGGCAATTCGCAGCTGAAATTTTGGAATGTCATCACTGCAATAGTCTTGTTTATAGAGTTAGTTGTTGCTATAACATTGACTGGGGACAAAGATAAAAATGTAGAATGAGAAAATGTTTCCATTCTATCCAGTGATGTGAAGGAGCATTTAGAAGCATCCAGGAGACCAGGCTCTGTAAAAAAGAAAGTGCCACTTTCATTATAGTGATGTATAAGAGCTGTGCCTGAAAACCTACCTCAGACTATCTCTGAAGAGGGCTCAGAGATTGTCTGTGGCTGAGAGGAGTTATGCACCTGCTGCTTACAATAGCTAGAGCACACCAGGATGATTGAAATGTCTTCAGTTCTAATTTATTTTGAAAGTAGCCAGTGGATCAAACACTAATATAAAGAAAGAATATTCCACTTCAGTTACCTCTACAGCAAGAAATGAGATAGTCTTATATCTTAGTATCTGTGATATTTTAAGACCTTCAGATGTTATAGCAGGGTTCCTGTGGTTTAGTTCATGTTTTGTTTTGTTTTGTTTTGTTCTGTTTTGTTTTGTTTTTGTTTCATTTTCCCACCAAGAGAAAAGTATTTCTAAGGGAAGGATTAATTAGGAGACATAGAGAAAAAAATAAAAAGAATAAATTTAATTTTCTTTGAGATCTATAGCATTCTCTGTTTGCTGGTCAAATATTTGAATATTTGCAATGTCCATACTGTTACAAATGTTTCAAATGCAGGATAGAAAATTTAGAGAGCAGAGCACACACACACACACACACACACACACATTACAATTATTTATTTAGATCATCATCAAAAGGTTCCTGGTGTCACTGGAAAAAAATACAGTAAATACATATATTTCAACATTTGTATGCACATGTAGACATGTTAGCTAATGAAAGGTGTTGGTGAAGAAAGAAAACTAAGAAAGTGTGAGAAAGTGAGAAGAAAAAGGATAAAATCTATTCAACAATAACAAATAGAAATAGGATGGTTCAATGGCTCTTGATTTAGTACTTCTGGACAACTCCCCACTGGAAATCAAGAATTACAAATAAGTGATATGTGTTTTGTTCATCTCCTCATTGATGTGCTGAGCATGAAAATAGGATCTAATTTAATGCTTACCCTCTGAGCTGATTACAAGATGTGCACACAGAGTGCATGTTCGTATATTAACATAAGGAACTGAATACAAAAACAATAAAAAACATGTGTTACCAAGCCTTACCTTTTTTAAAATTAATAATTTTTTTCCCTTCTATATCTCTGTCTTGTATTTGAAACTTCATAGTTGCAACACACATTTCTACTCAGTCCACAGCAGTAGGTAAGTTTGCTTCAATTTTCTATTGTCCTATTACCTCAATCCTAGAAGAGTAAGGCCCACTAAAGATAAAAATTTTGTGTTTTAGTTTTTAAAAGAAGCAGACAATGGATTCTTCCCTCCCCCCCCATCTGATATAACAGAGGTAATATATGTGTCCTGGTTCCAGGCAGGGCAGGGTTAATTTCTGCAGTAACCAGGAGGGGTCATGGTCAGGACTTGGAGGTGATTCTGTACTGCCTTGTCATTGCTGCAGATGGGAAAAGGGGAAAAGGGAATGTCTTCCAGGGAGAAGGGGTCCCTTCCAGTTGAGACTCAGTGGGAACAGTGAGCACCACTGCTGAACCATGACAATATCCCAGTATTCTGGGACCATGTTCTTTGGACAATAAAATCTTCTGATAAAAGAATAAAGACTAAGTCAGATAGATTGCTTAGTGTTCCAGAAAAAAATTAATCAAGTGGCCTCCTTTATGAAGAGGTCTTAAATCTTGTTAAATAGTTGGAAATTTTTGATTAGCAAAATGGAATGTTAGCTGCATTGCAATAAATGCTTTGTGTACCTGCTCAGTGCTGAGGTCAGGACTCCCTGATCTGTTCCTCAGTGATTTTCTTGCATACTTTGCCTTCACAAGAAAACAGCACGTAAGTTAAAAATCTGAATAGCTTTTCACATAATTCTGTTACATTTTTAGCATCAGGGCCTTAAGCTATTTAAACTTCCGTAGGCATCCTCTGAAAAGCAATGACAAAGAAAAACAAGTAATGAGGTATCCACAATCAGCCTTCTAACATGCTCTGATTAGTCCTACTTGCTTTTTTTCTTTTTTCAGATTAATGTACTATAGATGAAATTCAGTCTAATAATCTAGTGTGAAATACATTCTGCCCATACTAACTGCAGCATATTTTAGACATCTTCAAAGGTTCATCAGTGTCACTTGAAAAAATATGATAAATTCATGTTGAGACTTTCTATGACTGGATATTAAGCATGTCTGTGTGTCTGTACTTAAGTCCTGACTTCTTATATTTTGAGACAATCTCTGTTTTATAAAAGTAAGAAGTACTTAAATGATGCAAAAAACAAAATGAGGGGATAACATACTCACAGGTCTTCACTGTGAAGAAAAGGTAGTACATCTGGTTTAAAAATAGGTGGAAAAAATTAGAAAAAGAGAAAAACTATTATAGCATGTGTGGGTAGATTGCTAACATCACAGAATAATCACTCTTCAATTTGATATGTTTTTTGTCATGCCCTTTAGATAACAAGTTCTCACTTGGCCTTGATGCTGTTCTGGAAAGCAAAACACTAATTAACAGAAAAACAAAATCCAAAACTCAAACCCACAATTATGCAAACTCCCCAGAACCTCTACAAGACAAAAAACAAACAACCCTAATAAAAAAACCCCCAACAACCAAACCAAAAAGCCCAGTAGGGAGGGGGAAGAAGGGATATATTCTTCTCAAAATAAACCTTATCTTCATTAGTGAACCAAAGAATGCATGTACACTTTCCTCTGTTTTCTGTTGCTTAGAATTAAAGAGCAGTGGTATAAAACCCTAGTGCCCTTACAGTCAATTTACAACACCCTATTTACACCAGCTGAGAAACTGGCTCATAATGTTGTTTAAATAGGATGACAGCCCAGAAAATTTTCTGATGAATGAGTCACCGAGTCATGGAACCAAAATTCATTCCTGACCCACTATGGCTACTACATTTATATTATAAAAGAGGTCATAGTTGTGTTACGTTAAATATAGTACCCTGAGGATTTAATTAAAAGGGATTTAAAATTATGAATACTGAAGTCAGACAGGTCATATTGGATAATCCAGTTTTATTTTACAGTAATTGGTTACACAAGTTATTATTACATTATTTAGAACATCCTGATTCTCAGTGGAAGTTCTTGTGCATTTAATTAACCATGAGTACAAAATGACTTTAAAAACTGAAGTCATTAAACCCTCCTTAAATAGCCTTTTCAAATGGAAAGTGACAATGACATTTTCATTAAATTCTTATAATTTTGAAGTTTTTAAATGAAGAAACAATGATGATAAATAACAGTAGCTTAATTGTTAGTTTATTTATTAGTTTTAATTATTACTTTTAAGTAGATATTTCATATTTGGATTTTTATATAAGGTTGTCATAACTTGATTTTCACATGTTCTGACCATACAGTTATCTTGGCCTTCACTTTGGTAAAGTTTGCAGAACTCTAAGATCCTAAGCATGAGAAATTCTGGCTACTGATCACCTGCATTTGCTGAGGTCTGTAGATTTTGATGTATTTATAAAAAGAGGTGAAAGACTTTTACTGTAAGAATGGTTAATTTTTAAGGACAAGAGAGAATTTAACCTTTACTTAAATGAAAGACTAAATGACCAGTGTGTGCCTCAGTGTGATTGTCAAGAACAATCAATGGAGCACTCGGTTACTTCTTCTGCACCAGGTCAATGTTCTTTGTTGCTTTTGTTAAGGTTTTTGAGATTGATTTTGAGATTGTTGTGGAGTTACCCTCACTGGGGATATTGAACTGTCTGGATGCAATCCTGTGCTATGTGCTCTGGGATGACCCTGCTAGAGCAGGGAGGTTGAATTAGATGACCCAGTGTGGTTCCTTCCAACCTTGCCCATTCTGTGATTCTGTGAGATGCTGAGGACTGCAGTTTCCAGTGCCAGTCTGGGGGAAACAGGATATCCAGGCTGTGACAGCAAGGCAGCCCTACCTCCAGAGACTTGGCTGAGAGCACAGACTGGGTCAGAGACAAACCCTTGGCAAGAGTTCATTTCCCTGCCAGTCCAGCAGGCGCATGGATGCAAACAGCTGATCACAGTATCAGTCCAGAATTTCTTTGCAGCAATTCTTTCACTAATTACATCCTGCTTCAGCCTGTTTCAGTATGAAAAGTGATTTATCTGGGCTACCATCAACACCATGGTACAATGGAGGTGCTCTCTGGCACAGCATAATGGGCAATATTAAACAGTGTTTATCCACACATTCATTTGCATTGTGGGTCTGAGCAATTGTTAAATGCAGCACAGTCAAATCTTAATTCAGTAGGGACGATAAAAGGCAGGTTGCTATTTGTGCTGTTTGCTTAATTGTTCTATATGACTGAGAAATAGAAGAGAATTTACTGCAGACTTTTGATATTCAGTGTTGCTCTGTCACAGTACATTGAGAATAATGAATAGGACATTCACTCTGGAGCAAAGAACATTAGTTTTCTTACCTAGGAAACACGGAAGCCAGCTGGAGAGGAGAAAATTGCCAGGTTGATTGTCGACATAAAGGCAAAGGTAACATGCTGATAATAACCAGGGGAAATATGAAGATAATAACAGAGGATGATAACAACCCAGCTGAGGAAGAGAGGGGGGTCTGGAAGATCAAGTGATCCCAAGCTGTGCACAGCTATTATGCAGATGGAGGGACACCTCTGCTCCTGCAGAAAGGAGATGGTTTATTTCCCATGCAGTGAAATGTGTTAACTCCAGTCTTGTATTACACAAGATCAGGCCTTTCTTTCTTCCTATTATAAGAAATGTTTATTTCTTGACAGATTTCCACACCACTGCCTCGTTACCGTGGATGTCTCATTATTTATCCCACTTTGCCCTCCCTCCCCCTCCCCCTTGGCTGTGGGGCTCTGCAAGTCGCAGGCAGCTGTCACGTCAGGTCTGTGCGAACCTGTCAGACACACGATGGGGAAAGATGGAGCGATGGCTTCTTGCTGCCGGGCTCGCTGCGCTTGCTGGCTGCAGCAGGCTCGGGCTGCGAGCGCCGCGCTCCGGAGCGCTTCCCCCAGGGACAGCGGAGGAACGCGGGGCGCTCCCGCGCTGCTGCCCGGCGAGGACAGAAGCCTGGGATGATCTCCCTGCCTCCAGCAGCTCGTCCTGGAGGACCTTTCCTCATAGCACCCCTATTCCTGGCAGCCTGTTCCAGCTCTCCTGGCCATCTGCCTTCGCTGGCGGGTGAGGACTGAGGAAGAGGAGCTGAGGAGTGGGAGAAGAGGCAGGTCAGGCATGGCAGCAGCAGCAGTGATAAGCTAGGGGCAGCATTTCGTCCTGCCCTGGAATCAGCTTGCTTTTAGCAAGTGTAGTTTTCTATTTTTCAGATTCTCCAGCACGGCTGGCTATACAAATATTTTTGTATCTTTCTTTTCCAAGTCATAATAATTTACTTAATGACAGTTTTGAAATTGTAAATTCCCTTCTGCTTATTTTTTTTTCTTTTTTTTTTTTTTTTTTTTTTTTTTTTTTTTTTTTTTTTTTTTTAATTACTTGGTTGGGATTTACAATCAATATATTATTTTATGGGCTATGGTTAGATCATGATCCTAAACAGAACAAGGAAAGGAAAACAATCTTTGAAATATGATAAAAGTCATTAGATATTATACTGTGTATTCATGAATGTGACTCACACAATGTTTTGAGTCTCAATAACAGTAAATGTATCATAGGATGATGGAGTAGCTGAAGTAGTATAGCAAGTGACTTTATTGATTGCTATACTAAAATCCTGATGCCTTACTTAACAATCCTATAAAGTTCTATTTTACCAGCAACTATGTGGTGTGGGGGTTTTTTTGGGTTTTTTTTTTTTTTTTTAAATTTTTGGGCAAACTGTAAAAGTCTTCTCCTCCTGGATAAAATTTCCATTGGAGAAAAGATGAAAATCTTCTTGAACAATTTTCTATCATTGGTTATTCCCTGTGGGCATTTTAAGAAAGATAGTTAACTGTAACTAGCTAGGCAAAGACTTTCATTATCATGTTCTGTTTTTACTAGAAATCTTGGGAAAATTCAGGTCATTGACTTTGTAATGATAAGTCTGTCTCCTCTCACACAACTCCTGTCTGTCAGAAAGGATGATTCAGGAGTGGTAGGCTCTGTTCAGAAACCCTGATATACTGAGAAAGACAACCAGAGCAGCAGGAGCACAGCAAATGCCCAGAGCTCAGATACTATAAATATTTTTTAACTGAACTCTTTATTGCTTTTTGTTTCCCCTTCTAATAGCTTAAACAATTAAATTATGGTATGCAACAATTTTCTGATTGCTGCAATGGATTCTGTAGCTTAGGTAAGGCAAGTGCTTAAAATTTAATGCAGAGGTCTGTCCATGGCTCTCCCTACCAAGCCACATTATTTATATAATCTGCTTATAGAAATTCTGTCATCACCATGCCTTTCTGTCATGTCTCTCATAGTGAGAGCTTATTAACTTGTGCTTTATTAGATTCTATGCCTTTATGACCAAGTCATTAGACACAACCATTACCCTGGTCTCCTTTTGTTTCTGTCTCAAGATCCATCTTCACCGTGATACCCATGGTTAATGAAAGTCCTTAAGGAGACAGGCCCCAAGTGATTCATTTGTAGCTCTTGTCGGCTTCTTTCATGGAATTAAAAAAAAAAAAGTCTCTAAAGCTTGCAACTGAATGTTCAGCCAATAGATTTCACAATCTTATGTTCCAATTAGTTGCCCTCAGGTTCAGCATCCTTCTTCCACACTGCTTCCTTTGAGCCCTGATGTGCATTGCTGATGTCTTGGCTGGAGTGGTTTTGAGGGAAGGAATATTTCATGTTTATGCTCATACAATAATCAGCACAGTGAGGGCTCCACACACACTGGAGCCTCTGGCTGCCACTTGCTTACTGCTAATATACATTATATATACATCCAAACAGTTTGAAGGGGTTAGTGAGGGGGATTCTGGTTTTTGCATTCTTGTCCAGTTTTGTCACTACTTCATAGTTTTTTATATTACCTTCATTAATAGGCAGCTACAATGCTCACTTCAGGCTTCAGATATGACAAATACTTGCTTTTAAAGAACTTAATCTCCAGACAATTATTTTAGATTTTACTTAGAAAAAAAGACACAAGCAGAGCACTGTGTATACACTGTAATTTATTTAGTAAAAATCAATAAAAGTATCTTTGGAAAAATGGTTTTTGGGGAGGTGTGTGTTTACATATTTTGCCTTCATTTTTACCTTTATACGTAAGAATTAATACAGAATTTTTGCTAATACTCTGCGCTTGCTCTGGCATCACACTGAAACATTCATTAACTTCAATTTTTTTACAGGGTCT